CCTAGACAGGCAAATGCTCCCACAGATGTGTTCAGCTGCAGGATTTCTTTTAATGTGTGTGGGTAACTACACCAAAGCAGATACCTGGCACTTAGCCTTCAGGAATGGCAAACTAATGGAGTCTACATACAAAGAGACCCCAAATGATTTAACATGAGGGGGTAGGCGGAAGTCAAATCAGTCTGCGAGTTTCTAAGCAACCTCTGCATTTTTCACTTTGTGGAGGGTTTTTCCTCCCTCCCCCGCACCTCCAGCTTTTCTTCTTCTTCTTTTTTTTTTTTTTTTTTTTTTTAACTGCCTCTTAGCTAGACTCAAAATATGTCATCTGTTAAGGACAAGGGCCAACAAAGGAAAGGAAGTGGTTTCCAAGCAACAGGAACTACACTACCGTTCTCCAAATTGATGGTAGCCCTCTGACTCAAACATCCTTTTATTCCTCCATTCTCCAGCATGGCAGTTCTCTGCATGTTCCCTCAGTGATCAGAGAACTGGACACCTACAGCGTAATTTTAGTGCAAAAGGCACATTGGTAATGATCTCATAGCAATAGGCACATGGAAATACAGTCTCTGAGGCCCACAGGCCTCCATGGTTTAAAGAACAGCACAGGAATGGGCGCACTATCACCGTTCCAGTCATGGCCTGATGGTGGGTGACTGGGATTTGACAACTCGGTGCTTTACTAGCAGTGCTGCAGTCAGAATGGACGTTGCTTCCAAATTTCAGATCCCCTCCAGCCTTGCGGTGTCCTGGAGGTGCCTTTTGGCAGACTGGGAGCTCCCACATTGCATGACATTTGTTGGAAGTATTGCCACCAAATACGACAATCTAAGGGATGGCACCAGAGCCAGTGCTGAACAGATCTCAAGAGGTCATGGGGTGAGGTGAAAATAATCTCTGGAAACCCAGTTTGAACCAATATTTGTGAGCCTCCCACACGGGTGGCGTCTCTCAATATATTTACAATAAGAGGCAGGTACCTTAATTACGCCCCCCTCTAGGTCCTGAAGGAGCTGTGGTAACTGGCCCTGTGGGCTAAACACAATCATGCGACTGCAATGTCTGTCATACACGGAACAGTGCATAGTGGGTGGAATTACAGTGAATGGTTTTAACCAAAATCTCTTCCCACACTTGCCCATCTGCTTGGAGGGGAAAAACCTGGCTGTGGAGGGCCTGCGTTCTTACTGTGCCATATCCCAGCCTACAGCTCAATTGCGCACTGTGTGCAGGGCTATTTCCTTTGCCTGCATTAGAGCATCCCCAGGGCTGCTGTTGTCCCTAAGGAGCCAACGTTACAGCCATAGATTTGGACATCTACTCTTTACACTGATATGCCACGACAGCACGGGCCTGGCGCAGGGCAGGGGTTCCCAAACGGAGGCACTATGATCTCTCGGGGTACGCCAGACATCGCTGGTGATACGCAGGAGAAGTTATGTAACGACGGGTTGTATTTATTGCATTTTTATAACAGGATAGTTAGACGGATCTTTACAGCTCTGTGGGAATTTGTTTTACAAAAGATGGAAGTTTACTTCAAGATGGACCAGTGAGAAGACAGATAGCAGAGATGCTGACAGACAGAGCCCTCACTTCCACTCGCTGTACAATGTGAGGCCAGTTCAGAGAACTGGTAGCACAGATTACAATCAAATAAACTAGTTAGCCAGCCCCTGCATCCACACATCTACTCCCAAATCATATTATAAATGCTATAGAATTCCCAACCCAACAACCACGTAATGTGAAAGAAACAGCAAATCATATTATAAATGCTATAGAATTCCCAACCCGACAACCATGTAATGTGAAAGGAACGGTAGTTTTGCGTTCGTTGGCTGGATCTCTTGTGAATGTGAGCTCCCAACACAAACAATTGTGATTTCAGGGGCTCATTAGCCAGAGATGTATCAAGGCTGGTGATTGCTGCTGTTCTAATATATGCTGTATATGTACGGTGAAGGCATTTTGGTCACTGGGTTGGTGTTTTTCTCAGAGCTATGGATGTCCTGAAAGGGTGATGTTTGCTCATCTTTTTTCAGCACTCGTTTTGTTTTATTTTCCTCACACGTCCAGGCGCAAAGGCCCTTGGCAGAAAGGGTGATGTTTGCTCATCTTTTTTAAGCACTCGTTTTGTTTTCTTTTCCTCACACGTCCAGGTGCAAAGGCCCTTGGCGTGTCTGTGGCGCAAGATAGCACAGTGACTAGCCCTTGCTGTTTTCTCCTGGGCACTATTGCTCAGTCAGGCATGAAACACCTGCAGGCTCATCACCTTGGGCTGTGGCAGCGCCCAGTCCCATAAGCTCAGCTGCCTCTAACCCTGGGCCGCTTACAGGCTTCTCAGACCAATCCTAGGGTCCTGCCCTCAGAGTCCACCAATAATGGCCAGAGTAACGAGCTGAGTGGCTCAGTTTTCACAGAGCTGGGGTTACTGGGCATGTCTGACGAGCAGGCCCGAGGTGGTTTTGCTCACGCTCTTTGGCAAACAAGAGCTCTGAACTCAGCTAGCTTTCTGACCGTTGCCTTCTTCTTTTCCAGTTACTATGACGAGCTCACCAATTGCACCCACCTGATAGCCAATAAACTCAATTGCTATTGGCCGAACCAGCTGGTGGATGAGTTCTTCATCGCCATTCACAAGCACTATTTCAAAAACTGCTCCCTCTTTGGGAGGTCTCTACGCGACCCGCCTTACAACATTCTCTACCCCTTCCTCGTGCTCCCTGTCCTCAGCACCCTGCTCATGACGGCGCTGGTGGTATGGCGCAGCAAGCGGAGCGAGGGCATCATATAAGCTTCCTAAATCCATAGAGACCTGCCTTCCCATGGACGGATCCTTCTGTCACACTCGGGGAGCCCTTGCAGAATCAGCAGCGCTTTGGAAGCCGCCAAACAAGATGGCGTCGGAAACATGGAGGAAGGTGTGCACAGCTCTGACGTCTCACGCTGCCCTGAGCAGAGAGGTTGCTTCCTCTGTATACAGTTCCTCCGGGTAACCAGGCCCAGCTGGCATGCTTTGGACTAAAGTCGCTTTTCAGTAATTACTACCCTCTACAACTGCAGCACTTCTCGCAAACCAATTATGCGGTCATTCTAAAGTCATTTATGAGACAATTAATTGAAAAAATATAATATATGTCAAGATTAGCATTTATACACTTAGCCAGTAATCAGCCATGGGATGGATCAGTGAAGGACCCTTCTGTACACATAATCTAGTTATTATAATTTATTTCTTGCAACATTTTGGCTTGACTGCTTCTGAGGTCTATCATTGTTCATTAAAGGAACCCTTTGCCAAACCGCTGTTGTCAGTTTTTGCTTGTAATGTCCTGAAATATTGTAGCACTGCCTAGTTACACAGAGGCCTGACTTTTTGTGGTCAAAGGAGATATTTGCCAGTTATTTCTCTCACAGTGCCCTAGAATCTTAGACCTGTAGAAAAGCAGATCTGGATGGGACTCTGAGAGGTCATCAAATCCAGTCCCCAGCACGGAGGCAGGGCGGAGTGAACCTAAATCAGGTGTAGGCAATAATTTTTGATGAGGGGGCTGCTCTAAGAATTTGGAAGTGGGCAAGGACTTACTCTTCCATGACATTAATGGAGGAAGTGCTGGGTCTGGGAAGGGGGTTGGGTGCAGAAAGGACCTTGCGGTAAGGGACTGGGTACAGGAGGGGGTGTGGGATCTGGGCAGGAGTTCGGGTGAAGGAGGCAGTTGTGACCTGGGACAGGAGGTTGGGGTGCAGGATCTGGGAGGAGGTGTGGGTACAAACATAGTAAGAGATGGCCCCTGCCCCGGAGCACCTACAATCTCAGGCCAGCGGTGGACCAGCATGAGGCAAAAGTGCTGCAGAGTGAGGGGAAATGGAAACATCCTTCCATTGGAAACTGAGGCACAGATAGATTTTTTTGAGAGACTTACTAAGGGAGTTTGGGGCAAAGCTAAGAACTGAATGCAGCCTGAAGTGCAGTGTGGGGCCATCACCCCAATCCCATTCTTCCTTCTTTGTGGACCCGTCAGGAGGAAAGGTGCCATACTCACATTAGCACGAATAATTTTCATCAAATTTGTTCCACTCTAGATACCTATTCATAAGAGTTCCGAGTGTCTCCAAGATTTCGGCAGACAGTGTTACAGACAGACACACACACACTCTTGCTCTCCCTTCTGTCACAAGCACAAAGCTGCTGTCAGAGAAAGCATCGCATTGCATAGTCCCCTAACATCGTAAGCATCCAGCTTGGGTTGGACTGGGGGCAGGCACAGAGCAGTCCTGTTTTCCAATCACTTCTTCCGAGAGTGGTCGTGTACAAATATGCAGCTCCACTCCTGTACTAGCCCTCCATGGCTACGTCTACACCACAGCGTTAATTCCGAATCACTGCCCTTATTCCAAAACACCATAGCCCGCGTCAACACACAAGCCGTTATTTCAACTTAATGTCGAAATAATGTCGAGCTGAAGGACTTCTTACTCCGATTCCTGTAACCCTCATTTCACAAGGAGTAAGGGGAGTCGGAGGAAGAGTGCTCTTTCTCGGACTTCCTGCTGTGTGGACAGTGCCAGCACCGAAGCTATTTCGACTTCAGCTACGCAATTGATGTAGCTCAAGTTGCGTCGCTTATTTCGGCTTTAGTCCTGCCATGTAAACGCGTCCCATGTGGCTGTTACAATGAGCTCTGTGTTTCCTTTAGGCCGCTAGCTTCCAGCCCTGTCCCTCACATTCCCTGCACTCGACACCTCTTCTCCCATGAAAACAGTGTTTAGTTCCAGGCCTGCTCCCCTTGCAGGACAAGGGGTGTGTGGAGGGTGAGGGGAAGGGGACACAGAGAGAAGTTGCTGATGGTTTTGTTCTTAGTAGAGTAAATCCCTTAGAGCGGGGTTGACAGCCGTTTGCCGGCTGATCGGCATTCTTCCATTGGTGCATTGCTCGACCGTATGAGATGCATGGAAGGTGCTCAGGAAGTGATACGCTACAAAGATAATGCAGTTTGAACACGTTTGTGCTCTTTTCATATTGCATGAGGCGTGCAGAATACTTTTTAAATCATGCACCAGATCTCCTCGTCCTTCAGTCCAGGCTCATGGCCCCAGACCTGAGAATAATGAGGCGTGCAGAATACTTTTTAAATCCTCATGCGCCAGATCTCCTCGTCCTTCGGTCCAGGCTCATGACCCCAGACCTGAGAATGGAAAATGTGGACTTTGTTCTGGACTAGAGAAGCATGACAGCGTTTACACGGGCTTTGCATCTTTTCCAGGATTCGGTCGTAAGGAATACGTGTGCTGCCAAAGAGGTGAGATGGGAGGGAAGTGCTGAGAAGCAGTTTTATTGTTTAGCAGAGCCGGGGGGGATTCATGAAGCAAAAACTTCCTTGGAAAAGGGAACTTTTCCACCCCAAGGAGCCTAGATTTGGATGAGAACAAACCCTGGTTGCATGGTGGGAGATGCAGGAATTTACACAGCCACTCACAGGGGCTCCTGGAGACAGCAGCACACACGGTTCTAACTCGGTGGTGTCCAACGCGCTAGCCACGTGTGGCTGTTTGGCCACTTGAGTGTAGCCAGTTCTCTGGAGATAGTGGCTATTGCTTCAGAACGGGCTGGACACCACGGTTCTAATGACACGATTCACGCCCAGTGCCGTGAAACATAAACATTGCCAACTACGGGCGCATAAAGTGACGTTCCTAGGCCCGGCTCCTGGTATATTAGTGCCTAACTCCCATTGAAATCCATGCCTAACTCCCATTGTCACCTACCTTGGAGGTGGGCTGGTGACAGACTTCGCCAGGTCCTAGGCAGTGTAGGGTGCGGGGAAGCAGCTCGGGGCCTGCTGGTAGGGGTGGGGCCTCAGGCACTAGGGGTAAGCCTAGGGCAGCCAAACTTAGCGCTACCCGCACCGCACCGCATGGGGCTCAGGCTGCCACAGTGTCCTCTGAAATCACTGGACCCCGGCACCTGCCCCTCTGTCCCCCTCCTGCCCCCCTGGGGAGTGGCCCTGCCTCTGAGGAGCCAAGCTGTTAGCCGGCTTCTCAAAAGGGATGAGCACCAGCATTCAGCCCCACACAACAGGGCCTAAGCACCAGCGACCTCACTTGAGAGCGGGTCGTTGACTTGGGGGTGTGTAAAACCCAGCCTGGCAGTGACAGGGTTACAGGGAGCAGTGTGTGTGTGTGTGTGTGTGTGTGTGCTTGGCAGTTACAGGGTTACAGGGAGCGCGTGCGCGCGCGTGTGTGTGTGTGCGCGGGTGCCTGGCAATGACAGGGTTACAGGGAGGGGTGTGTGTGTGTGTGTGTGTGGCAATGACAGAGTTACAGGGAAGTGTGTGTGTGTGTGTGTGTGCTTGGCAGTTACAGGGTTACAGGGAGTGCGTGCGCGTGTGTGTGTGTGTGCGCGCGTGCCTGGCAATGACAGAGTTACAGGGAGGGGGGTGGGTGTGTGGATGTGCCTGGCAGTGACAGTGTTACAGGGAGGTGTGTGTCTGTGTCTGTGTGTGGCAATGACAGGGTTATAGGGAGGTGTGTGTGTGTGGCAATGACAGAGTTACAGGGAGGTGTGTGGGTGTGTGTGGCAATGACAGAGTTACAGGGAGGTGTGTGGGTGTGTGTGGCAATGACAGAGTTACAGGGAGGTGTGTGGGTGTGTGTGGCAATGACAGAGTTACAGGGAGGTGTGTGGGTGTGTGTGGCAATGACAGAGTTACAGGGAGGTGTGTGGGTGTGTGTGGCAATGACAGAGTTACAGGGAGGTGTGTGGGTGTGTGTGGCAATGACAGAGTTACAGGGAGGTGTGTGGGTGTGTGTGGCAATGACAGAGTTACAGGGAGGTGTGTGGGTGTGTGTGGCAATGACAGAGTTACAGGGAGGTGTGTGGGTGTGTGTGGCAATGACAGAGTTACAGGGAGGTGTGTGGGTGTGTGTGGCAATGACAGAGTTACAGGGAGGTGTGTGGGTGTGTGTGGCAATGACAGAGTTACAGGGAGGTGTGTGGGTGTGTGTGGCAATGACAGAGTTACAGGGAGGTGTGTGGGTGTGTGTGGCAATGACAGAGTTACAGGGAGGTGTGTGGGTGTGTGTGGCAATGACAGTTACAGGGAGGTGTGTGCGTGTGTGTAATCAGCCCCTGCTGTGGCACCTGGGCTAGGACACAGGTAATTGCGGATTAGACCCAGCTGGGAGAAGCCAGTGGGTGGTGCCTGAGGAAGGCAGAGTGCAGCTCCAGGAGATATGGGGGGTGCTGGCCTTTGGCAGGGGAAGCCATGCCCTGGGATGGGGCCTACAGGAGGCCTGGGAGAATTCAAAGTGCAGGGCAGAAGCCCTGAGCGCGGAGCAGCCAGGCCTGCAGAGAGAGGCCAAGTTCTGGCCCAAACTGCGGAGGAGTCGGGCCTTGTTACCCCAGGAGGGGCAGGAGCTGGCTGGAGGGCCACGGTGGTGCCTAGGCCACCAGAGGAGCGGCGTGAGGCAGGAGACGGCCTCTGGGATGGTGAGTCTGACCCGTTTGGATGCCTGTGGTGTCTAAGTGCTCTTCAGAACTGTATTCCTGGCTCCTGAAATCCCAGGTCTAGGGGTGGCTGCGCGGGCGCAGCTGGGAGTGGAGCAGCCCAGCACACACAGGGACCTCCAGGTGTTTAGCAAGTGTAAGTGGGGGAATGGTCCCGCTATTGTGGGGAACTTTCCTGGCTTCTATACACCCCGGTGAAATGAAGCAGCGAAAGGATCTGAGTCCCCGCTCCCACTTCCTTTACCCCACGGCTCCCTGATCCTGAGGGCTCCCCCTCCACTCTCCTGAGTAGCAGAGCCCTCGAAACCCCAACAAGGCTGGGCCCAGGTTTCCTGGGGCTTAATCCCTGACCTTGTAGTCACTAGGGGCAGGAGTTAGGGTGTCCCCACTCCGAGGTGCTCTCTTCACACTGCAGGCCTTCTTGGCCCAGTGATCACTTCATAAGGTTCAAAGCAAATACAATTTATTAAACAACAACCGATTAAAGAGACAAGAATAAGACAAAATGAGAATGGTTAAATGAGAACACACAGCCCTGCTCTGTAGCACAGGGACATAGAAACAGCAGTCTGCAGAGTGTAAGGACAGTCCACAGTCTCTTTCCTAGAGGCCCTGGATATGCTGCAGGGGGGGCTACAGGCTGGACACCTAGCTCTGGCAGTGACCACACAGTCTCAAGCTCTAAGTGGCCAGACCCCTCTCCCAGTCCAGAGCCTTTCCCCACACTTTGCTGGTCCCAGGTGCTCACCACATCCAGCTGCAGGCTGTGCTGCTTGGCCAGTTCCAGCTCCTTGTGTTGCTTCTCTGTTCCTTTTGGCTCTCTGAGCACTGCCAGTCTGCTGCTCAACACAGGGCCTGCGCTCCTTGAGCTGTGTATGCCTGGCTCTGCTGCTGCAAAAACTGCCCCTCAGCACAGCTTGCTCCTCTTAGCAGTCTCTCAGCTCTCTGTTCCTTTGGCAGGACTTCTTCTGCACACAGCTTGCTCTGCTCTCTCAG